GCTGACCACATGGTGGGCTGGCCACCACCCCTGCTCCTCTCCCCTGAGGGGATTTGTTTGTGGATGGGAGGTTTCACAGCCTGCATGTTTCTGACATAATTAGTACACAGGGCCTTTCTGTGAATGGGGCTGGAGCTGGCTACGACGATGCAAAGTGGTTTTATTGTGTTGATGTTTTGAATTCTTTCTTCTATCTTAAATAACAATGATACAAATTTATGGGTGCAGTGTGATGACTCAGGGCATGTATACCACGTGTAATGCTAGCTAAAATTTCCCAACTCCTTTCACATTTAAAAAGTTTTAGCATGTAATAACAATTGTGCATATTTATGGGATTTAGTGTGACATCACAATACTTGTACAGAGTGGGCTCAGCCCTGCTTTGTTCACACAACACACAGACCCATTCTCCAGCCAGGACGAGACAGAGCTTTGCATCTGGGATTCATTTACTCCTGCATCCTGCTGGGGTGTAGAGATGTCTGCGTTTGTTTTTTTTTTTCATGCTGCACTTCAAAAGAAAGCATAGGTGGCTGATGGGATCCCTCTGTGGGTAGGTTGGTACTGACAGCTTTGCCATTTTCCCCCTTTAAGTCTGTTTTTTAAAAGGACATCGTAAAAAGCTGTGGCTAGCAAAGAAGGGGTATAATTGAGGCAAGTGACAGCTGGACAATCCGTGGCCAGCAATACAAAAGATCCATCAGAGTGAGAGACTTATGCAGATTCTCGTGCAGGGATTTTGAAGTGGATTATATATTTTGTTGACTATAAATGGTAAATACTAATTGCTTAGATTTACCAGGCTCTTGCCAGCGCAGGGCAGCTGGGCTAAGTTCTTTCCATATTGGTTCTCATTTGATGCTCACTGCCAAGTGAGGCAGGTCTAAACCTGGTTCCCGAGATGGGAAATGAAGCGTTTTAGGGCTGAGAACATGAAGTCTGGGAGGTGTCAAAGCCAGAACTCCAGCCTCATCTGTGTGACTTCCAGGTCTTGGTCTCTGCCCTCTAGGATGTCATCCCTTCTGTCAGCTTTAGATCCAGGGGGGTCCTGCAGGTCAGGACCTTGATATTATCTTATGGCCGATGGAACCAGAAAATGTAGAAACAAAGCAGCCTCAGAACCAGTGACTCTAGCACTAAGTGGGGCGTGCCTTCCTGAATGTGAATTAATTCACAGATATTGAAAACGCAGGGTGCACAGGTGCAGACACGAGGCCCTGAAACTTCCTGTTGGTCTGAGTGAGAATGTTTTATGCGGTGCTCAAAATGCTCTTTCCTTCTGCTCTAGGGGCAAAAGTAAATGAGCTATGTCCTGACTTGTGTCCCTCAGGTTCGTGGTGCACGGCCTAACCACTGGCGAGCAGTACATCTTCCGGGTGAAGGCCGTCAACGCCGTGGGCACCAGCGAGAACTCCCAGAGAGTCTGACGCCATCAAGGTCCAGGCGGCCCTCAGTATGTACAGCACGGGCTGGCGAGCCTCTGCATTTTGTCATTTTTTGTAGTCATTTTATAATGATGCCATTTGCACCGTGACCAGAGGAAAAGGGGATGGAGGTTGTTAACAGCGCGTGTGATTCTGCTGGAATGCCTCTCACTGGCTGCTGGTGCTGGAGGTGCCAGTGTGAAGTGATCGAGCACTCCCGAAATACAGATCAAAGATGGAAATGTCTGCAGGTCCCACTCGCTCCCAAATGCTGGCACTCACACTAAAATACCTGTGGTAGTGCAAGAATTTCTCTTTTCAGAATACATGCATGTAGGACACATTTTAGGGTTCCACCTGTCTGTGTCACTTTGTAGCTTTATCCAGGAATAGCCATGTTTTAAAATGTCTATCATTTTGATCAAACAAGACAATTTGGATCTAAAATCTTGGTGCAGTCCCTAGAAAAGCTGATGTGCAGAGCTCAGTGTCTCACAATTGTCACTGTGGTTCTTTCCTCTCAAGCACTCTGTGTCGCTGATTATATTCTGGAAACACAAATGTCACATCCGACACACTTTCAATCACAGTCCTGTCCTTTCACTTCTGGGAGAAGCTTATTTCATCTCCAATTAAACTGACCTACATTTTTGGAAGTTAAGATTTTCCTGGACTGTGGAGTCTGGTAACTGCAGGTGGTGCAGGAGCAATCTCAACCTCCCCTGCAGGGACTTCCAGGCTTCCCATTTGCCTTTTGACACCATTCCTGCTGGAGGAAAGGAAGCCCAGGATTCAAGCGTTTCTTAGGGCTCACCTGCCCGTCAGTCACAGAGGACAATGTACCTACTGTCTGCAGGACCAGGGGAAAGCAGGGCCATGTTCCTGCTCTAGCTGGTAGGAGCAGAAGATGCCCTCCAGACATGGCACTTAAGCCGGGGAGGGAAGCTCAGACCTGCTCCCCTGCAGGACACTGGCACTCTCTGAGTTGCCAGAATCAGTCACACTTTTCCCCTCTGGCCCTGCACAGAGGTCGTTCTTCAGGGACCAGAGAGGGAAACTTTTCTCCAGGGTCTACACCGGAATTACACACTTTGCTGTCCTCGTATCTGTGAGATACTGCTAAATACCTTTAGAAAGCACAGTTAAATTTTTACCTGTTCCCTCCATTTACTTGTGAATTTTTTATTAGCATATGATAGTTGTAAGGGGGAGGGGAGGGGGAAGGATGCATTGTGAGAGTTACATGTGTGCTTACGATGTATCTTAGATTCACCCCTCCATCCTTCTCCCTCCCCCCGCTCCTCCCCTTCTTAGAACAATTCCAGCGGGTTTCATTCTCCTGTTTTCATGTATGAATACGAAATACACCCACCATATTCTCCCTCATTCACCTTTCCTTACACCCATCCCCTCTCACTGGTACCCACTCCCAGAAAAGACTTATTTTACCCTCCTGCCCTTCATCTTCTTAAAAGTGGGTATTGGTGATCCAAGGGGGTTTTGCCTTAGTATTTGAGGCCTGTATATATCATGCTTTAAGTCAGATTAACCCCCCATTGCTTAACTCTTTCTCTCCATGCTCCCTGATTTTTCAACGGTTACATTGCATTCATATATGGATGGGTTCTTTAATATTTCTCATTCTCTAAAGTTTTCTTTCCCTCTCCCACCTCCTGTAGTCCCCACAGATAGACACTAATACAATCTTGGCCTCTCCACACACACACACACACACACACATATGAGCATAATATTATTTATAGAAACGTGACTTACAGGTCCAGCTTCACATATGAGGGAAAAAATGCCACCTTTGACTCTTTGAGCCTGGCTTCCATGAAGCTCTCTAGTTCCATTCATTTACCTGCAAACAACACAATTTCATTCTTTGTGGCTGAATAAAATTCACTGTGTAGAAATACCACATTTTCTTAATCCACTCATCGATAGTGGAGCATCTGGGCTGTTTCCATAGTTTAGCTCTTGTGAATGGCGCTGCAATAAACATGGGAGTGCAAATTACTCACTCCCTTTAAAGGAAGACATGAGAACAGCAGCAGTGGTTAAGGCGAGTCCAGAGGTGCGGGGACACTGCACCGGGTCGCTGGCCCCCACTCCCCTCCCCTGCTCTGGAGCCAGCCGCACGGTGAGGTTGGGAGCACACTTCTCTGGCCCTGGTAACTTCCACGCTGTGTGTACTTGCAGCTGTCCCATCCCATCCGTACGGGATCACGCTTCTGAACTGCGACGGCCACTCGATGACCCTTGGCTGGAAGGTGCCTAAATTCAGTGGTGGCTCGGCCATCCTGGGATATTACTTAGACAAGCGCGAGGCTCACCACAAGAACTGGCATGAGGTCAATTCGTCACCCATCCAAGAGAGGATCATAACGGTTGGTTTTTATTTGTTTGTTTATTTTTGCCTGGGTGTCCTCTGCACTCTGGACAGACGCCTTCATTCAGTGTTCAGAGTTCAGTGGCGTTAGGTGGTTTGGTATGGAACCAGAAGTGGATTAAATCCCAGTGTCATGACAGCCTGCAGTTTGGGGACTGCAAGTACCTTAGGAAACTTTCTTCTGAGAAACAATGGAGGAGCAGAGAGTAATTGAGTGAGTCTGACAGGCAGTCAACAACCACCCTGTCTCTTATTCTAAGCTTGAACCTTGGAGGGCAGGGTTACCAGCCCAGGTGTGTTTCTACCCTTGGCTCAGGGCTCAGGGCTCAGGGCTTGGGACAGAGGTGGAGCTGAGCAGGTGCTTCTGAGAGGATGGTGCTGCTCTTGGATTGCTGTCCAGCCTTTCTTGGAAACCCTGCCTCTGCAGTCTTGTGCCATGGTGCATATTACACTCAGGTGCCGAGAGTGACAGAGCTGGTGTCGAATCCAGACGCAAACTGGGTTTCTTTTTCACTTGTTCAAGCCTTTGGTTCCTCCTCTGAGCATTGTCTCACCTGACCTGGGCTCAGCAACCCTGGGGCTCAGCTCAGCTCACCTGGAGCTCAGCTCACCTGGAGCTCACCCCATTACTCCTACGGAATGAGCTGTCTCACAGGAGATGTACAGGCTGGGAAGTGAGGGACTTGGGGTACAGTCTAGAGCTGCAATCCTGTCCTTTAGGCAAGTGTGCTGTCGTCCCCATAGGAGCGTTTATGAAGCGAATGGAGGTTAGCATGGTGACTGTGACTTGCCAGGTGCAAAAAATGGCCTTAGTGGCCGAGTGACTTAGTCTCATTTGCTGACACAGTCCTTTCACTTATATTTCACTTTACAAATCCATCACAAACACTTTGTTTCCCCAGTGGATCGTAACTTATCCTTTATTTCCTGTATTAACTGAAACAAAATCTGCACAGGTGGAGGGCTTGACAGAAGGTTCCTTGTATGAATTCAAAATTGCTGCCGTCAACCTGGCCGGAATCGGGCAGCCATCAGACCCCAGCGAGCACTTCAAGTGTGAGGCCTGGACAATGCCAGAACCCGGTGAGCTGTCCTTCTGGGTGCGCTGTCCTCTTGGACACACTGCCTCACCAGGGGGCTGGCCACAGGGGCCTGCTCATCACCACCTGTTTGTCACAATGATCTGGTGACCATTCACGTGACACAGACTGTGGCGTTGGGACCAGCAGTGTCTGAAGTCTGTGCTGGGCACAGACAGGAGCAGGTGATGGGAGGAGGGGATAAATCTCAATGCAAGCTGGGAGGCAGAACATGGAAGGGACCGTTAAGTCAGGCAGCAGAGGCAGGGACAGTGTCCCAGGATTGACCATGTGCACGTAGTACCTGACCAATTACCAGGACCTGCTTCTAAGGAGCTGAGAGAAGTGGAGGGAAGAAGAAAGTCCCAGGCAGGAGGGAAACTGGGCAGCCCAGCTACAGGCTGAGAATCAGATAGCATCTGGGCTTCCCTCTGTGTGTCAGCTGTGGCCCTGCAGGGGCTTGGGCCTACGGTTCTGAAAGGCACAGGTCCACATTAATCTATAACTCTACATTTTAAAACAGCTTTGGTTTCTTTGTATCCAACCCTTCAGACTAAATGCAAAGGTAACTTGCTTATATTCTGAAAAAGAAAATGCTAAAAGGTGAAGCTGAGAAAGCTCCCCGTCAGACGTCAGACTGTCTACAGATTACACTGCTTCCTTCCTCCCTCCCTCCCTTTCTTCCTCTCTTCCCTCTCTCTTTCTCCTTTCTCTCTCTCCTTCCCTCCTTCCCTCCCTCCTTCCTTCCTTCCCTTTCTCTCTTGTCTCCTTTCTCCTTTCTCTCTTTCTCTTTCCTCCCTCCCTCCCTCCTTCCTTCCTTCCTCTCCCTCTCTTCCTCCTTCCTTTTTTCTTTCCTACTTGTTTAAATTATTTTTGGTCCTTTAGAAAAGCCATTGGTAAAAGACATCTAGTTTCCAGAACTGGCTCAGCAGCACATGAGACCCAGTGGGACCTAGTCATGAAGAAGCTGGGCCACTGCACCTTTCCTTTTACCACCCAAAGCTCATGTGGACTTGGGGAGTCAATGTCAGATGCCTGTGGACTTACAGGTCTCTGGAGAGCAGAGCTGTGGACCGTGTGCTAGCCGCCGGGAGGGAGGTTCCAGCCCAGAGGTGGCCACACGAATACCTCCCTTCCCTGCACCTTTTCTCCCCGATGCTCACCTGCTGGCTGAGAACGATGTGGACCTGTGAATTATACTCACCATCCCCCAGATGCCTGGTGTGTGGGGATGCAGGGACACAGCTGGACTCTCCTGCAGCACCAGTGTCAGGTTCACGAGCACATTCTAGAAAGGATGATGCCCGTGTGGGAGGCCTCTGCAGGCAGCAGTGGGTCCAGGCGGGGAGTTGGGCTTTGCCGAGTGGTAAGGGCACAGGTTCCATGTGGCATTCCAGGTCCCGCCTATGACTTGACTTTCTGCGAGGTCCGGGACACGTCGCTGGTGATGCTTTGGAAGGCCCGGTGTATACGGGCAGCAGTCCCGTGTCTGGGTACTTGGTGGATTTTAAGGAAGAGGATTCAGGAGAATGGAAGACCGTAAATGAGGCGGCAACCCCAAATCGTTATTTAAAGGTGATGTGTTCATTTTTTCCTTTTCTCTGATAGCGTTTTTGATTCCTGTAGAAAACTGGCTCAGAGTCCCCAGGTGAACTACTCAAACACTCTTGGGACCTTGTACGGGTCCCAGAGACAGCCTTCACCTCAGGGTCCGTCTGCAGAGGCTCCAGCAGAGGACAGTGATGAGCCGGAGGAGGTGACGCCTCCATCATGCACACCTGTGCCAGGAACCTGTGCTGACCTATTTTCTCCCCACACCGTTACAGTGCCACCGCGCTCGTACGTGCCCTGGGCAGGAGTGATTAACGTCACACTCCGTCCTTCCACTTCAAGCTGCACATTGCACTTACCAGGGTCCTGCCATCACCAGCAGAAGTCTATTTGACTTCACGCACGCACGCATGCGCACACAACAAACATTGCTCCATCCTCTCTCTCTCCAAGTTTTTCTATGTACACTTGCGGTTTGCCGTTCACTGGGTCCCTTGTGACAACTGTCCTTGGACCCCATAGTTCAAGTGCCTTAACAAGTCTGTTCAGCTGTCCTGATCCAGAGGTCTGCTCCTTTTGGAGGTGGGCTGGGGTGCAGCTTAGATGCAGAAGCCAGCACCCTGTTCCTTCAAGAAAGGCCACAGCTGCCCCAGGCAGCGCTGCACACGGATGAGGCACACTTGGTAGCACCCTCTGCAGGACAGTTTCTCAGTGTGAAGGAGTTTCTTTTGGTAAATAGGAACATTTATTTATTTATTTAATAATTATTGTTAAATGTTATATTGTGACATTTACAAAAGTCCCTACAATATATCTTAGTTAAATTCACCCCCTCCATCATTCTCCTTTATCTCTCCTACCCCCATTCCTGGAATAGCTGCAACAGGTCTCATTTTTCCATTTTCATACATGAGAACAGAGTATTTCCACCATATTCCCCTCCTACACCCTTTCCCTGTTATCCTCCCCCTCCCATTGGTGCCACCCCCCCAACAGGATCTGCTTTTCCTTTTGCTCATTTTTTACATAAAAAAACATGTTTAAGATAGCTATACAGAGAGTTTCCTTATGACATTTTCATGTATATATGTATTATAACCTGAATTGGTTCATCCCCTCTATTTTCTCCTTTCTACCATATTCCCCTTCTTATGGTGCTTTCAACAGGTTTAAAAATTCTGTATTCATGCTTGTATAGAGAGTACATCACCCATATTCACCTTCTTAACTTCCTTCTTTCACCTTCCCTTTCTCATTAGTGACCTCCCCTTAGTGTGACCTGTTTTTCATAATATTGCTTGTTTTCATATTGGGTCTATTTTCCACATATGAGAGAAAACATGTAGTTTTTGGCCTTCTGAGCCTGCTAACTTCACTTAAGATGATGTTCTCCAGTTCCATTCATTTACCTGCAAATGAAAAATTTCACTCTTCTTTGTGACTTTCTAGAATTCCATTATATATAAATACCACATTTTATCAATCCATTCATCAGTAGTGGGGCATCTTGGCTATTTCCATAGCTTGGTTATTGTGAATAGCACTGCAGTAAACATGGGTGTGCAGTCTTTATTGTAACCCGACTCACATTCCTTTGGGTTTATCCCTCGTAGTGGGATTGCTGAATCATATAGCAGATCTATCTTTAGTTTTTGAGGAGCCTCCATACTGTTTTCCAAAGGTTGTACTGATTTACATTCTCACTGCAGTGTAGGAGGGATCCTTTTTCCCACATCCTCACTGACATTTTTGCTGTGTTCCTCATGACAGCCATTCTAACAGGGGTGATGTGGAATCTTAATGTGGTTTTGATTTACATTTCCTTTTTGGCCAGGACGGTGAGCATTTCTTCAAAACAGTTGAACTTGTAAGCATCCAGCCATGATACAGATGATAGCTCCCACACCGATGGGTATATAAGAAGAGACTGGTTTAATTTCTGTGTGCAGAGGGTGATTTTGCAGTTAAAAACCACACTGAAAATAATGCTTAGTCCCGTAGAACTATGTTAAATACGAACGACTAGTTGATAGGACCTAATTCTGCATCAGACTGTGCAGAGAAAGAGGAATAAAACAGGATGCACCCAGTATGTCTACTCCTGTAAGCGAGGTTGTGCATGGGCATGACTCTCCACTGTCTTCTGCTCCTCCAGTTCACCATGTACAGCTTTTCCGCCAGAAAAAGGAGTTCTCTTTAGAGAGAAGATGTGTTCACCATAAAACGTGAACAAAAGCAAAGTGGTCTTCATGTCATCTGCCCTCACTCGTGTTTCCTTTGTGGTTTCAAGGTCTGTGACCTGCTGCAAGGCCACACGTATGTCTTCAGAGTGCGGGCTGTGAATGCTAGCGGGCCAGGGAAGCCGTCAGACACATCGGAACCAGTGCTGTGGAGGCCCGGCCAGGTGAGCCTGCACCTCTCGCCCCCAGAATTTCGGAGGTTACAGAACAGCAGTGATGTGGGGGAGTGAGCGAGCACGATGCATATGCGTTGTAAGTGTATGTGTCCTGCAGTTGCGTAGGTGTTATGTATGTAGGTGTTATGTATGTTATGTATGTGTTATGCATGCATGTATGGATGTATGTTGGATGCATGAATGGTTGGGTGGATGATGCTCTGCTGTGTTTTTAAGCAGATTGGGTTAGTAAGTGAAGGAAGGTTGCGCTCGGGATCTGCGTATGTTCTAAATCCTTGGGCAGGAGGAGAGCTTGTTTGATTGGCTGCACTGTGGGTAGAGGTTGTTCTAGGAGAGGACAAATAATTCACAGGAAGGAAGGTATTGTTTGAATCACTGCTTGAATTTTTATCAGAAAGTTATGAAGCCACTGGTGATTTCCTTGGTAGCAATGAACTAAAAACCCTTTGAGGTGACCTTGCACAGGGATTACCGGGGACAAGACCAGCTCTCAGGATACTCTGGGGAGGGGGTTCACCTGGGAGGTGGGAGGTGATGGGGCTTACAAGCTGAGACCTCAGGGTCTGCCTCCCCCAGTCTCACCCTCCTCTATGGCCATTTGTTTTGATTATTGTGCTGTTCTGCTTCTCTATCTTTTTGGTAACCTTCTATCTTACCTGGCATCAGTT